AAAGACAGAACTGTTTATGTGTGTTTATTATGACTTGGGTTTGCAATGGGAAGACTACCTCAGAGAATCAAAGTTCTGGTGTGCGTTTGATGCTGGACCCAAGTGGTCTCGAATGATGGGATCAGCTGGTTTCTGGATTCATTACGTCTGCTGACATTTAGGCATGATGTAGCATGACCTCAGCTTTCCTCAGTAGCATGTGCAAGCTCTCCTCATCTCAGCAGATTTGGAAAATCCTGAAGCCTAAAGGCAAGGTGGCACACTGAGTTCACTAAACCTGAAGGTGACAACATTGCTGCACCTCCACACTCACTCTGAAAACTTGTCCATATTCCATGCGCAGCCCTTGTGGGGAATGGCAAAGCCTCACGTTTGCAGCCGATTAGGGAGAGAGATTAAGACCTGCCAGGAGAAACCGGGCCATTGTGGAGGTGTGGGTACAGGGAGAGATGGAATGAATAAAAGACGAGTTCAAACCAAATCAGGCCTGCTGGGCTTATCCACCATCAACTGCAGAGTGGTGAAGCAGAGCTTCTGATAAAGATGCAAGGAACCCAGATGAGAAGGAGGAGGAGGAAAAAAAATAAAACTCTGAACCATTAAGTTTACATAGGTTTCAAGCCCACCACCATGGCCACTTTGATTCTAGAGTCATGCTGGTTTAGTTTATAGGAAAAATCTACTTAATTTATTGTTTAATTATGTGAAATCTAAAGTATATCTTTGCTGTCTTTAACTGATGTTACAGGATAGCACTTCCCACCAGTGGGCACTATTAGCATGTAGGTTGGGTTGGGTGATGCCTTTTTTTGAATAGTTCAAGATGGACAAGGTACACACAAACATGTTTAGACTGTTGAACTACATCAGAGATGATGGACACATGGGCGGACACCGCTGTTTTTAAAAAAAAATTCTTAACAAAAACTTTATACTAACTTCCCTCATTAGCTTTTCCTGTCTAGTTGAAGCCATGCTAAGCAGTGAAACCTCGTTGAGGTTGAAACGTTTGCATTCTTGGCCACTTCATGCCACATACTTCAAACATGCATCAAACGATCTGTAGCGGCCAACTGAGATGCACCAATCAAACAACCGTTCGTAAGTGTTTAGCTGTACTCATTTAAATCTTAAATACTTGACATTTTAGTGAAAGGCAGTGACATTATGTGAGGTAAATTTGTAATATGTAGATAGTATTTGATATTTCAGAGGGTGTGTATAACTTTATAATGTTTGAAAATACTGGAATGACAACAGACCTGTTTAAAATTGAGATCATGTGGTTTAAAATCTCTCAAAATCTCTTAATATATCCGGGCAATTCTAATTCTCCTCTCCTCATTTTGAATCAAGAGAAGCTCCACCATCTAGTGGTTATTTCTGAAACCAGCTTTCTTCAATACGTACCATCCTCATTCACAATGTAACAGTCTCCAACACAGAACATAAAATAGTTCTCATGTTGCTTCTGTGATAACACAAATAACTCCAAGCCAATCATTTGAAGTTCATCCATATTGCGCTAATGATGCTAATAAGGCTAATGACAAAGATGGTCCTCTGTTCTCCTTTCATGTCAGCCGCAAAACAAGAACAACATCTCCCTTCCTTAGGACAGTATTGAATGGTTTTTGGCTTCAGAGGGTAGCTCAATTCACTTTGAAAATCTAGGGGTTTTTTTTATCATAAGAGAGGAGGCGACTGGAGCAATGAGAGAAAGCGAGAAAAGGATTGTTTGGAGTCAGAAACATATTTCAAAGGATTCCCCCAAAACAGCCTGCGAAATCTGAGATGAAACCAGCTAATAAAGCGCCACACGGCAATAAATAATGCAACAAGAGGAAACAACATGAAAGATCTTTTCATCTCCATATAGAGAGGAAAAGAGAAAGGAAGCAACGAGAATGTGTATATGCTCACTGCTGTATTCAATACAATAGTTTGTGGGACTTTCCTTTGAAACTTTGAAACATTTGGTCAAGAGGAGAAATGTATTTCTCGTTTACAGTCTTGATGGTGTGCTCAATTGTTGCACTAAATGAAAAACATGAGAAAGGGAAACCACATGTTTTCATAAAGCTGGACACATGAGGAACACAGTGACATTTGACCCTTGCCTCTGTCTTTTCTTTTGCATGTACTGTAGCCCAAACTGGTCTTCACTCACTTTGTCTTGGTCAGATTTTCTCATTATATGTTGTTAGTGTGCTCAATTTGTTTAGTTAGTATTAGTCCTTTTCCATCAATCCATGGGGATAAAACACTCTTCTCCCTAATACTAGAAAATGCCTCTACTCCCACTGCGGCCCCTCTCCCTCCTTTAGCTGAAAGTAGAGCCAATTCTTACGACTAGGCCAAAAAAATCCCCTCGCACCCACCCGAAATTGTTCTGTCCACCAGCTAACAGCCAAGGACAGAGATCAAACCGACCACAAAGCAGGGGGGTCGAAACAAGAACAACAAAAGGGTTTCCTCTCCTAATCTCTGTTAAATTAGAGTAGACGTGCATGGCGGTGTGGGCTTCCTGGAGAGGATAAAGAGACTCGAGCAGTGACTGGAAGAGGACTGTGGTTATGATATTATTAATAAAGGCAGCATGAAGGGTGAACAAGTGCTAAAGCTGCATGTGAGACTAGCGTGTGTGTGTGTGTGTGTGTGTGTGTGTTTGTGAATGAAAGTGAGATACAGAGACAGGAAACAGCAGTACAGTTGTATAACACTGACATCGTGTGGACAGATGTGTAAACTGAGTTATTAACTTCAACTTGGATCATAAAAGGAAGTTGATTCCTGTTACATTTCCATTTTCCTGAGAGGACTGCTGTAATCAAAGTAACACAATTCACCACACAAATATAAATAGAAAGAAATCCCTTTTAAAAAAAGGCAGGGGCTATTCCAGAAAATGATATGAGCCAATGGGTTTTTTTCACCTTAAGGACCCCTAAACTGACACAAATTAGACCACAGACCACCATCTGCAAAAGTTTTTTCTTGTAGATATTTTATTACAGAAAGGGTATGAAACCCACAACCAAAATAATCATATATTCTGTCATATAATGAGTGGAATTATATAATTAAAGACTTGTGGTTAATAACAAATAACAAAAGTTTTAAATGTGCCATGCTTTCTTTCAAAATACAATATCAATTGTTCTTCTGGGGGTCCATGGAACCTTTTTTGAGAACCACTGATACACACTACTTGACAAATCATTGACAAACAGTGATGCCATTATAAATCCCTTTTATCCCTATACAGTTGTGCTGATCAAAAGTTTACATACCCTTGAATGTTTGGCCTTGTTATAGACAAAGTGACAATTAAAGGTTACTTTCCCACACCTGTGGGTTTTTAAATTGCAATTAGTGTCGGTGAATGAATAGTCAATAAGTGTGTTACCTCTCACGTGGATGCATTGAGCAAGCTAGATACTGAGCCATGGGGAGCAGAAAAGAGCTGTCAAAAGACCAGCATAACAAGGTATTGGAAAAGAATATAAAAAGATATCCAAAGCCTTGCAAATGCCAGTCAGTACTGTTCAATCACTTATTAAGAAGTGGAAAATTCTTGGATCTCTCAATACCAAGCCAAGGTCAGGTAGACCAAGAAAGGTTCCAGCCAAAACTGAGAGAAGAATTCTTCTGGATACAAAGAAAAACCCACAGGTAACCTCAGGAGAATAACAGCCTGCTCTGGAAAAAGATGGTGTGGTTGCTGCAAGGAGCACAATATGATGATACTTAAACAAAGATGAGCTGCATGGACGAGTTGCCAGAAAGAAGCCTTTGCTGCGCCTATGCCACAAAAAAGTGTGGTTACAATATGCCCGACAACACGTTGACACGCCTCACAGCTTCTGGCACACTGTAATTTGTGACGAGACCAAACTAGAGCTTTATGGTCACAACCATAAGTGATATGTTTGGAGAGGGGTCAGCAAGGCCTATAGTGAACAGAATACCATCCCCACTGTGAAGCATGGTGGTGGCTCACTGATGTTTTGGGGAATGTAAGCTCTAAAGGCACAGCAAGATGATTGCAGCATGTTATCAGAAAATACTGGCAGACAATTTGCATTCACCTACACGAAAGCTGTGCATGGGACGCTCTTGGACTTTCCAGCATGATAATGACCCTAATCACAAGGCCAAGTTGACCCTCCAGTGGTTACAGCAGAAAAAGGTGGAAGTTCAGGAGTGACCATCACAGTCTTCTGACCTTAATATCATCAAGCCACTCTGGGGAGATCTCAAACACGTGGTTCATGCAAGACGACCAAAGACTTTGCATGACCTGGAGGCATTTTTTGCCAAGATGAATGGGCAGCTATACCACCTGCAAGAATTTGGGGCCTCATAGATAACTATTACAAAAGACATTGATAAGGTGGCAATACATAGTAAAGGGCATGGACACTTTTGAACAGGGGTCGGTTCATTTTTTGTTTTATGTTTTGTTTTATGATTGTGCCGTTCTGTTATGGCCTACAGTTCAATTTGAATCCCAAAAGAAATAAAATATGTGTTTTGCCTGCTCACTCATGTTTATGGACATGGTACATAAATTATCAATTCTTTAAGGGTATGCAAACTTTTGAGCACAACTGTATACCCTTCACTTTTAGGCTACTGTTTGGAGAAACAATCCAAACCACTAGAGATCACTAATAAACTGTGCTTAAAGGGAACTTGGTGTTTTGTTCTCTGTTTGTTTTACCTATGTGCAGCTAACTTGTATCAGGACCATCCTTACAACTCTGGGCGTTCAGTGCATTGTCTGCATGGTCTTTGCATATCTGAGTCACAGTTGGTGAATTTGAATGCAGTGTGAGTGAATAACACAGCACTGGACATGTGCATGTTGGCATACACAGAAACTTCTCTGGTCAGGTAAACAAATAAAATCACAGTGTGTGATGATTTGATGAAAAACAACTTTATTTAACCATGTGAACAAAATACAAAATACAAACTAAAATAATGAACACACACACAGTGAAGAGATGGCTTTTGGGGCCCTTGGAGGTGTTAGGCCCCAGGGCAGCTTCCTCCTCTGGTAATCCAGCCTCGACTATATTACATTTGAGCATGCTGTAGTTATTAATACCTGGGAGTGGCAGTTAAATATTGACGCCAGTAGGAGGCGACAGAGGTCAATTAACAGTTTATCTATCTATGGCCCAATCCCAATCTCCACCCTAAAGCCTAAACCCTGAACGCTCACAGACTTAGTTGACTTCACCTGGTAAATGCTAAATTGCAGAGGCAGCAAGGGCCCGAAATGGTATAATGGGACAGCATCGCACTTTGCAACATGTCACATTACTTTACCTTGACTATGCCAAAACAGTTGTGGGTTTGGGACTTTTTTATTTGGAGTGTTTTACTTTCTTCACAGCCCAGGTACTGGACGGACCGCCTTTCTGATTTGAACATGTTCCAGGCTCTTGCGGAGTAAATGATAATTTGAAAATTACCTGTGGACAAGAGGTAGTTTTCAAATAATTAATTTACTCGTTTTTATAAAAACAGCATCATACACTAACATGTAGGCAGAACTTTTTTTTTCCTTGTAGTTACTCATCCATGTTTGGTTACCTTTTTTAACGCCGGCTTCCTCGTATTTAACGTCATAAAGCTAAGAACTGTGGGTTATTACCTCAGGCAAAGTGTGCAGAGATGCGGACTTACAGAAAGTGTGCATAAAGTCTGCAAGAGAGCCCTCCTGCACTTGACAGTTTGACAGAGGGAGCTGTCCCCACGGACAGTCCATGCGTGTGGATATCGGCTTCAGCTTATGTATCTATCCAGCTATGGTTTGTCTGTGTCACTACATTGTTTTGTCTGCTTGTAAGATAGCCGATTTAAGTTCTTAATAAAAACAAGGCCTAGGCTACTAGTAAAATAAGATTTGCTGTGATACTCGTGTTTTTCCCTTGTACTCTTCTTGAAGGGCAGGCTTCGCCTCTTGTGGGCTTCACATTCACGCGCGCGCAAATCCGCAAATGTAAAGAGAGAGATGCAGGTGTGTAAACAACAGAGAGCTCGCGGTGTGTCTGTCTCTGGTGTTTGTTTCCTCTTGATGAAGCAAGAGACCCCCGTCATCGCCATTCATGCGCGCGCGTGTGTGTGTGTGTGTGAGAGAGAGAGAGTGGTGAGTGAGTGAGTGAGTGAGTGAGAGAAGATTATTGTCCTTTAAGCCGCGTGCGCCTCACCCGTCCTTATGTCGCGCGCTCACCTGCACTGGGACTTTGTCAAACGCAGCTTTCAAACGGGGATCTCGAGCCGTGCTCGTCGTGCTGATTTAACGCCAGGTGATATGGATTAACTGACTTCTCACTGTCTGAGGAAGGTGCGGTGTTTTTCGAAGTTGTTCCACATCCAGGACGGTCGGGACGGCTCGCCCTGCGCTCAGGAGGGGATTAGAGAGGAGATACTCGCTGCTCGGTAAGGTCTTTACACCTCATTATTGTACAGCCAACTAGACTGAGTGGCAGCCACACATAAAGTGCCGAAAATAGATTCTGTAGCGTATTTGTTTCCCTTTAGTGCCTTCCTGCTAGCTAGCAAAGATGACGGTGCTGTGGCTCAACAAACGCCAGACATTTATTTGTTGGAAAGAAAACTGAAAAAAGACAAAATAATGCACAGAAGTCTGTATTATTCCAGCCAGCGCATTGTTATCCGGGTCTAACGTTACAGTTCAACAAATGGAAAAATATTAACAATCTTGGAATGTTAAGCTTTCCAATTTACCCTAATTGACAGAAGTCATTAAAACATTTATCGTTAAAGCCTTGCCGCTACTTGTAGCCTATTGTAGCCTAGACTTAACAGAGCAGCCAGTGAACAAATAACACCTACTCTCTTCCAAAAAGTAGGCTACTCCACTTAGGAGAGGGAGACAGGTGTAAGTCACTGCCCAATTACGACTCCACCTGTTTAAATCCACATAAGTCATATGATGAAAGAGGGGTGCACATGAAGGGAGGAGATGGATTGATAAGAGGGATTTTTAAATTTAGTACTCTGAGAGATGGATTGAGTGGAAAGCACTGGGCGTGTCTGGAGGGTGGTCCTAATGCTCTAGATGTTTCGTGTCAGTCAGTTCAGTTGCACACAGACTGAGGCATTCCCTGGCTCCTTATAAAGCAAATGACTCAGTCGTTTTCCATATTCAACTGCTGCTAAAGAATTCATGATTAGACCAACAGTAGGCTACATAGTCTGTGTGAAATCAAAATGTGTTTTACTAATGCATCACTGCAACCAGGAACATGCACAAGCGCTCACACAAACACACACAGACAGACACTACAACATGCCTTTTACAGTAAGATGATGCTCCAGATATTTTTGCTGCATCATGCCTCAGCCTCCTGAAACACAGAACACTGTGTTGGTGCTATTGTAACATGCTAATAGGTGAGACAATCTGCTGCTGGGTGTCTGGCTTGACTCCCATCTGCATGTCAAGTGTATGTGCACATATCCGTGGGTGTGTATGTATCTGTGTTTAATGAAGAGACATGAATATTAAGTGAGACATGACACAGAATTGAAACAGAAGAAGAAGAATATGAGGCCGGCTGCTTTCTGAAGGCCCTACCAGGCTTTACTAATTTATGATGTTATTTTTAGGCTCAGCTACATTTTTGATGCTTCGTATTTGTGAAGTTTAATACTGAGAGAAAAGTCGGGGTGTGTCTGTCAACCTCTTTTGTACTTAACTGCGTGCATACAAACATACAGTACACACACGCCTGCACACATTCAGACAAATGATGTGTGGAGATACCTGAAAGGCCCTATGGCACTGCATTATTAATAATGATAATAAAGGTAACTGGTATAGCACTACTTTCCAAAACCAACGTTAAAAAAACAACTTTACATGAAACTACGCCGGCATACAGTCCACTCAGACACAAGTACACTGTTCAGCTTTATTTCCTGATGTAACCATCTTCCACAACTCTTTCCTCACCATCAGAGCTTTACACCCAATAGTAAAAACGCTAGGGCTGCAGCTAACGATGATTACTCAAAGCTTCTATAGAATATTTCAAGGATTCATTGATGAATCGTTTAAGACGTACTGTTGCTTGGCGGCAGCAGCACCCCCCCAACAGTAACGGGATCAGCTGTGTACGATGATAGATGATAGCTATTTATTCGTCCTTTCGGAAATTCATAGTGTGTCATGCAGACCAATAACATCAACAGACCAACAACCAGACAACTGCTTTACCAACACAAACATCACCCGAGTGCTATACAAGTTATACTAAATACTAAGGTGCAGCTCCCTGACACCCAGTTAACTCGTGACTGTGACATTACAACCCAAACTCACGGCCCAACCAGGAGAACAACAAACAACCAGGAGAACAACAAACAACCGTGTATACATTTTCAGCTGAGGACTGCAGTTTACTTTGGCTAGCCTTCAACTCAACAATCAATCAAAGAATCATGCAAAGAATTTGCATCGATGCATTTTAGTAATCGATGAATTGTTTCAACCTTAAAAGACGCAGAGTTAGATTTAGTTATTTCTCCAAAACCAAAGTATTAAACTTTAAACTTGCTATGCGTAGGTTACTTTGTTATACCGGATAAATCCCTTTTTTAAAAGCGTTTGAAAACATTTCAGGATGTGAAAGCGTCAACAAATTAGAGGTAAAAAAGAGCCCTCCCAGGAAGCAAAAATTTGTTCTGGCACAGAACATTTTCATCTTTGCCTGACTTATTACCGCACAGTGGTGAATCAAAGCTTAGGATGAACTGCCCTAATGAGGTCTAAAAGGTTTTAGGTCAACCCTAATCTTCTTTTGCCATATAGACAGCACTTTCAGCCAGTTTGGCGTCAATCTGAAACTCCTGATTAAAGGGTTTTGCTACAACAGCAGAAATAGTTTTTAAGCGCTTTTAGTATAGTAGGCCCATCAGAAGCAATCCATCAGTTCTTAGTGGACATAGACGGCCTGTTGATTCAGTAAACTTTTTTTTACTTCCGAGTTTACTTTCATACATTGTGACATGTTTCAGAGGGGCTATAGGAAATTCTAGGCTACCTACAGCTTGAAGAACTGAAAGAAAACTGAAGCCACCAACTCACTCGTTGCTGGCTTCATCAAGCCCTGATTTGCTACATAGCCTGTCCTAAATATATAGCTGAGACACTGAGGGATAGCTCCCGCAGTGGAAAAGGTATTGCCAAATCTCTACTGGTGGACACATTTCTACTGTCGCATGGTATATACTGTCATATCGTCCAACCCTACCCCACATTGACCCATGTAATTTAGTATTGTATAACCATGTGTATCTAAGGAACCCCTCCTTGTCCAGGGATTTGTTAAAATGTTTTCCTTTCCCCCATTCTAGCTCTGCCTTTGAATATATGTAAAGACAGGTGGGACCAAAAAAAATCTGGTTGCTGTTCACTTGTCTTTCTGCTGTAGATACCAGTGGTTGGCAATAGGTGGCCCGCGGGCCAGAACCGGTCCGCCAGCAATAATATCTGGCCCGCGGCCAGATTGCTCTGATAGCAGAAAAATAAAAAATCAATAAATTGAGAAAGGCTGGTGCTAAAAAAGATCTCAGTCATGACAGCAACAGTTACTCACATACTTCCTCTTAAGTGTGCCTCTAAAATAAAAGTGCAAGAACGTCTTTTGCAGCAATGCGTCATGTCGAGTTTATTAAGAGCTTTTACTTTGAAGAGATCTGAAGGACAATTCAAAAGAGTCTCTGGCGTGCTTGATACGCCTCTGAAAAAATATTCTCAGGGAAATGAAAATAAGTGTCCATAGGTTTAAAAGTGTCCTTTTATTCAATTTGTTTAACAAGGGGGGGGGAAATATCCGCAATAAGATGGAATAGATCTCATAACCTTCCCATCGGGAGTCCCGCACTCTACCAACTAAGCTATATAAATGTACCCGGTCTGCCAAGTAAAGCCTATGTGTGGGAAACGGATCAACGATTCAACGTTGAGTCCTTTACGAAGTACTTTTGCTTGGCTGCCTTTTCTGTGGTCCGCTGGCAGAACACCGGGTGCTTTCTGATCAGGTGCTGTCGTGCTGTTGCCAACAATCAATCATGATTTCAGTTAAATGCTGAAGTTGCTGTTGTTGGTAGGCTACATAAGTTTCATTTTATGGACGGTAACATTACAGAGTAGTTGTTGTTGTTGTTTTCTTTAGCTTGAAAAAAATCCCATACTTTGGACACTTTATTCTTTGTCCCTCGCTATTTTCTCTCTCTTCCTCCACTTTGCAAACAGCGCCATCATAATCATGTTGTGTACAGTAATAAATGTCCGTGCGGAACAGTGTGCTGTATAGTTATATGGATTAAACGCATCAATGTAAAGAACTTGCGTCAATGCATTTTAGTAATCGATGAATTGTTTCAACCCTAAACATATGTTGTTTCCCCACTGCTGGAAAGTGAAGGCGGTTAGTGCTAGCTAGCATCTCCTGGAGCTGACTCTGGTCTGGAAGCTGAGCAGGGCTGGAGAGAGCGGAGTCACATGACTACACAGGCAGTAGTAGGTTTTTAAGGGGAAATATTAACAGGATTAAATAACCGAAATAACCGACAAGGGAATATTACGTCCGTTAGAGGCTCTGAATTTCGGTTTCAATAACTTTTCAATTAATCGTCCAGCCAAACTAACAGTGTTGGGGGTAATGCGTTACAAAGTAACTCATTTCTGTAATCAGATTACTTTTGTCTGTAACGCAGTAATGTAACGAATTACTGTTGATAACTTCACTAATCACATTACAGTTACTCATAACAAAATCATCGCGTTACTGGTTCTTGAACTATCCACATAAAGGGAGGAGAGAAAAATGCTTGTGCTGACTCCGAGGAGGAACAGGTTGTCTGACAAACGATTTTAGAGACTCCTGTCCACGGTACGAACTATGGGGGAGCCAGGGGGCTCCCCTTAATAAGACATGAGCTCCCCTAAATGCATGATTTGTGATATTTTGGGGGGTCTCAAAAATATTGACAGCTTGCTTTATTGACATTAATCTCTATATTTCTCTATCATCATGGATCATGTGGAGCGTCAGACTTCAGCCAGCCAGAGGGAACAATAATCGACCGTCCGCAGTGGGCCAGTCGCTCCGCGATCTCCTATCCCTGCTCCCACCCCACTCCCTCTCCGGTATGGGTTGTGTTGCTAGTACGACCGACACACAATGATCCATGCAGTACTGCAGCTGGGGGGTCTCCACAGCGCCACGCAACTTTCTAATTTCTTCCCTCACGAAGAAAAGAAAGAAATGTTTCCAATTAAATGTCCAAATAAAGTTTTAAGCATTACAGTAGGCTACTGTACTCTAGCCTTGTTCTTCACTTGACAAATGTTGGGCTGATATTCACAACTTTGTTGTCAGCTTTGTAGTATTAAAGAGAGATCCTGT